ATATCTACTTGCCGTTTATGGGCGTTTCAGCCTGTTGATGCCGACCTCCACGGACGGCTTTGCCATTCTTTCCTTCCCTCTTTGTGTGCGTGTGTGTATTCTTCTTTTTTTTGTCTTCCCGCACTCTGTTACTGATGCCTCCGGTTGGTGTGGCTGCAGGGAGGAACAGAGGCATTATTACTGCTGCGATGTCGCTGATTGTTGCCGGCGCAACTGGGGCGATTGGCCGCTGCGTTGTGCGCGAGGCGCTGCGACGGGCGGAGATTACACGGGTCGTTGCACTAACGCGTTCCACCGCCGTCAGCGACCCCGCAGCCCTCTTCAACTTCACGGTTCTCTCGGACGCCGCTGAGGCAACCAACAACAACAACAGCAGCAGCAGTACTACCGACGCTGTGACGCCAGAGCAATTGAGGCGCCTGATACCAGTGACGTTCGATTGGGAGAAGTTCTGCGGCTTCTGGACGCAGAGGGAGGCGGGTGGTGCAGCCACTGACGTGCAGTACGTGGGCGGCAGCTATGAGAGTGCAGAGGCGTACTACCGTGATCTCTTTGGTGGCCACGCGTACGCTGCTATGTGCCTCGGCACCACGCGCCACGATGCGGGGAGCGCAGCCGCGTTTGAGCACTGCGACTACGACTACGTTGTCAACTTCGCCAAGGCCGTGCGGGCGTTCAGCGGTGACACCGTCGCCACCTACGCGCAGGTGAGTGCGCAGTTGGCCGACAAGAATTCGTGGCTTCTCTACAACAAGACAAAGGGACGCGCGGACGCAGCGGTGGAGGCGCTCCAGTTCCCACGCTGCTGCATCTACCGCCCGGGGCTGCTCAACCGCGGCGCCAAGACCCGCACAGTCGAGAAGGTCGCGCAGTGGTTTGTGCGCGGCATTCCCGTCGAGACGTGCGGCCGCGCCATTCTGCGGGACATGCTGTTCTGCAGCAAGAGAAGCAGCAGTGATGCTGCGATTCCACCTTGCGAGTGTGCGGGTAAGGCGGAGAGCACACCCTCGACAGGCACGCAAGTCATAATATTTGCAAACAGCGCCATCCAAAAGGAAGCTGCGGACTTGAAGTGAGTTTGTATTGCGGCTTGCGTGCATCTGCATTGTGCGCCATTCGTAGGGTTTGTTGCCACACGCCGGCGCATCAGGTATATTTGGGGGATTGTATTGGTGCACACGTCTTATGGGATATAGGATTTGTTTGCTTCTACTTGTAGTCTTCTTTTTTTCTTTCCGTTTTTCTTTTTTTTTTGCCCCCTTCTTTGCTGGTCGGTGTTCTCGCCCCACGCACATCCATCCGTTGCGTAACCTCTACCGCTTTGGCGGCGCTTCAGTGATAAAGCACTGCCTTGCTGTGCGCTGTGCGTGCGGGGCCTCGTCTTTTCTCCGGCCGGTGAACCGCGTGGCACGTGCAAAAATTTGCACTTGGCCTAACTGCGTGTAGGGGCGAAATACGCCTCGTCAAGTCTGAGTGCTGAGAGGCCGCAAGAGCAGCAGCAGCAGCAGCAGCCACAACAGTTGCGCACACGCGCAGATACACAGAGGCATTTAAAATATTACTAAAAATATATATACATTTGTTTACAAAGGATACGGCAGCGTCTTCAGGAAGCGTAGCTCTGGTTGTCTGCTTGGTGCTGGTGAATAGAAATGGACTTCTTCTCTGTGTTGAATCAGCGGCAGCTCGACCAGAACAGCGAACTCCGCAGACAGTACCGCATCTCCGTCTGCTACGCGGCGGGGGCGGTGTTCGCGCTGCTCTTAGCGTCCGTCGTGGCACCCGCCGGCATCCCGTCCGACTCCCGCAAGGGCAACCTCTGGTGGAACGTCGCTGTGCTGCTGTTTGTGTCTAGCAGTGTGGCGGCGTACGCGGCGATGTTGAAGGCGCTGCATGCCCTGACGGCGAACCGCTTCTTCCTGCCGTCGCCATACGCCCTGCCGCGTTCTGTAGGCGCCGTGCTGCTCATGCCGGTGCCCAATGAAGCTCTTACACGGGGGCAGCGGGTGGTGCTTGTCTACGGGCTACTGGCGGCTTCCGTGGTTTCTCTGTATCTTGGGCTATCGAGCAAGCCGTACAGCGCGTACCTGCTGCTGCTGCTGGTGCAGCTGGCGCTGTTTGTCTCACTGTGGTTGATCGTCAGCCGTATGATGTGCCTGTCACGCTGAGTGGCAGCGCGGTTGGCGGCTGGGGGGCGGTGGGGAAAAAGACTTCTGTGCGTTGGGGAAACGGAGTGGCGAGATGGAGAGAGAGAGAGAGAGAGAGAGAGAAACGGAATGAAGAGAAACAAAAAGAAAGAGAAAAAAAAGCTGAGGAGCACACGGAAGGAACGAATGAACGAGAGAGAGAGAGGGGAGGAGGAAGGGAATAGGTGGGCGGTGGAGGGTGGGGAGGCGAGGGGCTGACGCGTGCATGTTCTACAATACGGTGGATGGAAGGCATGCGAGACCATGCTGGCGCAGCCCCGGTGTTGGACTCGTGCGCTCCTCGCGTTCCTCCTCCCTCCCCCCTCGCTTTCCTTCTCCACGCGTTGCCGTTAAACCTTTTCCCCATTGTGTATTGTCACGGTGCACACCCGTCTCGGTCGCCGCGTGCAGTGTTGCTTCGGGCGTGGAGTGCGCTTCTTTTTGTTGTTGTTGTTGTTGTTTCATTTGGTCTTCATCGTTAGCTTTCCTCTCGTGGTGCTGTCGGGGCGTGGGCTTGAGCAGCTTCAGCGGGCACATCCCATTTGGTCTCGCTGTATTGTTGCACGCCGCACTCGCCCTGCGACGAATGACGCGGACGGCCGTCTCCGTGAATACGAGCGCTGGATTGAACACTCCGTCAATGCTGCACGCAACTAGGCCATTGAAAGCGCCAACGAACCGCCCATTGCCGCGGCAAAGGGACCATGCAGCCGTCCCCACCGTTCTTGTTCCTGCTGCCGATGCTTCTGCGTCCCCGCCTACCGCGGTGGTCCCCCGTCGCAAAGATTTGGAGGAGCGATTGCAGTATCTACTGCTCGTGGAGGACCGTCTCACCCCTGCCATTGTGGAGGACGACGTGCGCCAAGTGATAGCAGAGCTTCGCCGACGACGAGGCGAGCGAAAGGCCGTCGTGCCCCCAGTCCGGCGCGCATCCGGCGCGGCAGGCGGGGTTCGGCCGCACGTGCTGGCATTAGTGCAGGCGTGCGAGGCGAGTAGTGACGCCGCCGCGGTCGAGGGGCTGCGCGCCTTCCACCGCAGTCATTATGTGCACCAAGGCAACGAGGTGGGTCGTTCGCTGGTGTTTACGGCGCTGGCGGAGCTGCTACTGATGCGGCGGGAGCGCAGCAGCGACGATGTGCAGGAGGCGCTATCGATGCTGGATGTCGCCGTGGGTGACCGCCACGTGGGGGCGATGCTGCAAGTCGGCATCTGCCTACGCGATGGGCTCGGCGTGCCGCGCGACTTGGTGGCAGCGATCACGTGGATAGAGCGCGCTGCTGACGCCGGATACGCCCCCGCGATGTTTGAGCTCGCCGTTATGTACGACGATGGCGTCGAGGACAGCAGCCGCTGCCTCGAGTCCGACTGGGGCGAGGCGATGAAGTGGTACCGCTGCGCCGCGGAGCTGGGGCACACGATGGCCCAGCTTAACCTCGGAAAGTTGCTGTGGCGTGCCGCAACTGCAGCCAGCGACGGTGGTGGCGGTGACAGTGCTATTATTACGGGACTACAGAAGCGAGCACGTGAGTTTCTAGAGAGGGCGGCATCCGCAGGGAATGAAGAGGCGGTGCGGCTCCTACGCTACAGGTGAAACGACGTGAAGGAACAGCAGATATATATATATATATATATATATATATACTGTCTTGTTGCTTCAAATGCTTGTTGTGTGATGGTGCCGTGCCCTTTACCTGTCACGATGTAAAGTAACTGAGAATTACATCCGATACCGTCTTCTGCACACGTACACTATTGCGCAGATCGGTAAACGGCAATGGTTTTTTTTCTCTTTGTGTGTGTGTGTGTGTGTGCCTGTTTGTTTATTTGAACAGTGGGCGAGACGAATGCATTGTGACGTTGTTGTTGACGATCGCTGGTGGTGGTTAAGCTTCTGCTCCACCTATGCCGGGTGAATGGTGCCGCTGCTCTGTAGAGATTTTTCTTTGCTTAGTGTAACGTATTTACGTTATTGGAGCCGTTCTTCGTTGGTGACATGTCATTTTTTTTTTGAATTATTTTGCTTTGCTTTTGCCAACTTGGTCCTTTTTCTCTTTGGCAGTGTTGTTTCGTAGCAGGGGCTTGTCTCGTTGGGCACTGCAAAGGAAAATAGCCACCCAAAGAGAGAACGAGGGAGTCAGGCAGGCGAAAGCTAACGGCGGTGCGAGTAGATAGAAGGGTTAACACGGAGGAATAATAAGAGAAGCATAAAGTGCAGACATTCTCGTTCAATAGAAGCAGCAGCAGAGATGGGGATGATAGGAAAGAATAGCATCATTCATGACATCCGTCTCCTGCGGCGACGCCACTGGTCGACATGGGTAACAGTGTGGCCATTTGTGGTACTTTACTCTGTGAGCTTCGCACTGTACATGGACCCTGAGCTGGTGTGGGATCGTGTGACGTATCTCCTGCACACAACCTACATTGACTTCTTTCACGCTATTTGCATCCCCGTATTGCTCTTTTTCCACGGCTTCCTGTCGCTCTTTACGATTTGGTCCGTGCGCTTCCGCTCCACGATTCTCTTCCACGCAGTGCACCCCGACAACATGGCGTCAGCCACCCATGTCTTTGTGTGCACACACGATCATAAAGGAGAGTCGGAGATCGTGCCGCTTATTCCCCCATGCGATGGGCACCCCACGTGCTTTGTATTCCAGCAGCGGAAGTGGAAGCTGGACGCCGCGACCGGCTGCTTCGTAAAACCCCGCTTCCCCACGAAAAACACCTTGGCGTCGTACGTGGAGTGGAAGGGGCTTGGCACCGCAGATGACTGTGCGCGGCAGCTCGACACATTCGGCGCGAACAAGATGGAGGTGGTGATTCCGGAGTTCCAGAGCCTCTTCGTCGACCACGCACTCGCACCATTCTTCGTGTTCCAGATGTTTTGCGTTCTGCTTTGGTGCCTGGATGAGTACTGGTACTACTCGCTCTTCACAGGCGTTATGATGGTGGGCATGGAGTGCACCGTCGTGGTGCAGCGCATCCGCAACATGAAAACGCTGCGCGACATGGCGGAGGTGCCGGTTCGCCAAATGACGGTGCTCCGCGGCGGCTCTGAGGTGCGCGTTGCGACGTCGGAGCTGCTGCCGATGGACCTCATTGTGGTGGAGAGCAACGCGCCGTGCCCGGTTGACGCGTTGATTGTGTGCGGCACGTGCGTCGTGAACGAGGCGACACTGACGGGTGAATCGACGCCGCAGCTGAAGGAGGCAGTTGACCGCGTCGACATCACGCTCGACGTGAAGAAGCACACACGTCACATGCTCTTCTCGGGCACGCAGCTGCTTCTCAGCAACGGCCCCCACGGTAAGAAAGACACTGAACGCGGCCGAGCTCTCGCGGTTGTGCTCAAGACGGGCTTTGAGACGAAGCAGGGGAAGCTGCTGCGCACCATCCTACACAGTCAGGGCCGTGTGAGTGAAAATAGTGGAGAGTCGTTCGCTTTTATTGGTGTCCTTGTCGTGTTCGCGCTGGCCGCTGCTGGGTATCTTCTTAAGCGGGGTCTTCACGACCCTAACAGGAGTCGCTGGAAGTTATTTCTGTCGTGTGTGCAGATTATCACAGCGGTGGTGCCTCCCGAGCTGCCGATGGAGCTTTCCCTGGCAGTCAACACCTCACTGCTCGCCCTCATCAAGCTACAGGTTTTCTGTACAGAGCCTTTCCGAATTCCGTTTGCTGGTAAGGTTGACACATGCTGCTTCGACAAGACAGGAACTCTCACTACAGACGAGATGCTTTTTGGGGGCGTCGACATGGCGGACGGGAGTGGTCTGCTTAATCAACTCAAGACGGTACCAAAGACAGCGGAGACGGTGCTTGTGACGTGCCACTCCCTGCTGCAACTTGAGGGAACTGACACGGTGGCTGGTGATGCAATGGAGAAGGCTTCGGTGGGCGCGCTTGGGTACAAAGTGGGCCACGACGACTCTGTTGTGTATGACCCACCGCCGCCAAAGAGCAACGACGAGGGGAAAAACGCAGACACATGCAAGTCTGCCAGCAACAAGAAAAAAGATGCTCATGGAAACAAACAGTACAAAATTCTTGCGAGGTTTCCCTTTCTGGCGAATCTGCGTCGTATGTCCTGCGTCGTGAGCTCTCAAGATGGGAAGCTTGTCGTGACAAAGGGATCGCCTGACGCGATAGCGAAGTTGTGCGTAAATGTTCCGCCCGATTTTCACGCCGTGGCGAATGCTCACGCCTCAAGTGGGTACCGCGTGATTGCGCTGGCGTCTCGCCACTTGCGAGAGGAGGAGCGGTCGAAGGAGGCTATCCAGAGCATGAAGCGGGAGGACTGTGAAAAGGACCTCACCTTCGCCGGTCTCGCGGTGTACGAGTGTCCACTGAAGAAGGATGCGAAGAGCACTATTTCGAATTTGCAGGGTGGAAGCCACCGCTGTGTCATCATCACAGGTGACAGTGTGCAAACGGCCATTTCAGTTGGGCGCGATGTGTCGATTCTGGAATGCCGCCGGCAGCTGGTTGCGAGTGGCGGGAAAGATGGCAGTGCTGCAGTGGTGTGGCATGACGCCTCAACGGGCGATTCAGTGTCTCTGGACGAGCGCGCGATTCTCGACAAGACATTTGTGCGCACACGCAAGCATATGACCCCTGCTGAAGACGAATGGGATCTCTGCGTGAACGCGGAGAACATTTCGCCGACCGCCATGACAGCCCTCATCGCCGCGTGCAACGAAAAGATCTCTGTGTGGGCCCGCTGCGCCCCAACGCAGAAGGAGGACATCGTCACAGACCTTAAGAAGAAGGACCACATCGTTCTCATGGCGGGCGACGGCACGAATGACGTGGGGGCGCTGAAGCAGGCACACACCGGCATCGCCGTGCTGAACGCCGCCGCGGTAGCAGCGCCGGAGAACGGCGACGGCGGCGCGGTGGTTGACAGAACACCACAGCCGCACAGCGAACCAGATATCCCTGCAGAATATAAAATCCCACCAGGGTTTAAATTGACGGTTGTGCCGCCGCAGCCGCCGCAGGACGCGCCTCTTATGGAGCAGGTTCGCTGGAAGATGACAGAGGCCCGCCGAAAGGCTGAGGTAATGCAAATCACGCGTTGGAACAAGCAGTTGCAGGCAAACAAGCAGAAGAAAGATGCGGAGAAGGCCGCCGCGCCACCACCGCCCCCAGGGTCTACTTCCGACTTTCTTATGGAGTCGCTCTTCAATGCGGACGACATGGACATGGGTGGGCCACCGCAGATCAAGCTTGGTGATGCGTCTATTGCGGCACCCTTTACGTGCCGCTCTAAGGCGCTCATGTCCATTTGCGACATTGTTCGGCTTGGTCGAAGTACCCTTGTGACGACGCTGCAGATGTACAAAATCCTTGCCCTCAACTGCCTTACCTCAGCGTACTCCATGTCGGTGTTGCAGACTGACGGTGTGAAGCTTGGTGAGAAGCAGATGATCCTGGCGGGAATGATTCTCTCTGTCTGCTTCCTCTGCATGTCACGTAGTCAGCCACTGCCACATCTTTGCCCTCAGAGGCCAATTACACGGGTATTCCATCCATACATGGTCTGTACAATATTTTTGCAGTTTGCCCTGCACCTGTACAGTATGATGAAAACCGTGAAGCTAGTGGAGGAGGTGGACAGCGCTGAGGTGGAGAACATGCGGCAGATGGGCACTGAGGGGGAGTTCAAACCAACGTTGCTTAACTCGGCGATGTTTATGCTTACCTCACTCATGGGTGGCGTCACCTTCGCGGTCAATTATCGCGGCGAGCCCTTTATGCAGAGCATGCGTAAGAACAGGCCCATGTTCTACGCGCTGATTTTTCTCACACTAGTTGTATTCTACTTTGCATCCGAGACCGATCCAGAGGTGAACGCCATGTTTGAGATTGTGGCGTTCCCCTCGTTGGAGTTCCGCCAGCGTTTCATTCAGCTGCTGGTGGTAGATGCTGGTGGGAGTTTCGTTATCGAGTACGCCTGTCTTTACCTCCTGACCGACTATGCGTGAGGGGCCGACGTCGTCCATGCCGATGCACCGCGCATCCATGGCAGGCGGACATATATCTGTATGCGTATATATGCATACACTCGGAGAAGGAAAACGGGTTGAATAACAGAAAAAAAAAGAGCACACAACAATGAGTAAGAATACGTTTGGCTGTTATATAATGGAAGAGAATCAAAGACGAAAGAAATGGTACATTCGTTTTAATTTGCGACGCCTCCCGCCCCAACGCGGGGTAGTTGCTCCAAGGTTTTGTAACCATAACTAAGTTCGATGCTTTAATCATCGAGAAATAGGCGACGAGGTTGTTATTGTGCGCGCACCACCACTCCCCACTTCCGTCTGTGCGCATGCGACTTATGTGTGTGCTGCATCTCTCCTCCATCCTGAACTTTTCATCATTTTGAACTTTTCATTTCTGTTTCTTTCATTTCTTACTGCGTCTGCTAGCGACGCACTTTATTACTGTAGGGGGCCGGACATGCGGAATTCGTCGAGCGAGGTTGAGACCAAACGGGATTTCAGCGTCGCATTCGACCAGACGATCCACGCGACGACGTGCGACACGAGCGGCCAGTCGGCGCACGGCTTCGCGGACGACCCGCGTGCGTCGCTGAGCGTGCCGGAGTACCTTGACGGCGCCGTTATGGCGGTCCTCACGGAGGGGCTGGAGGATCTGTGCCGCCAGCGCCCAGCGAACCCGGTTGACCACCTCGCCTTCTTTCTGCTGCGGCGCTCGCAGAGTAACGCCGCTATAGAGGTGGCGCCACAAGACGCGGTGCCGATGGAGCCGTTGAAGACGCGGCCCTAATGGCATCCCTCAAGCCGTTTGTATCTCTCTCTCTCTCTCTCTCTGTGTGTGTGCGTCCAACTTCGGGCGCCGCCATGCATGTACCACATGTGCTACAACTAAAGAGACATGTCCTCTCTGGGGGAATTTTCGAGCTTGGTGACTCTTGCCATTGAATGGATTCGAGGTATTGCCTTTCCTTGTCTTTGCCTCTTCCTCTCTTCTCTGCCAGACACCAGGGTGCGCACAAAATAAAAAAAGGGGGGGGTGGCAGGAAGGAGCACATGTGGGTATGATGCGGCGTGCTAGGTGCTGCTTGTATCCCGCGGCGTCGCTGTCCGCTTTCGTCACTTGCCATGCGGCCTCTACGCATCCCGAGCGTCTGCTGACAGCCGACCGACGATGTGTGGCACTGCTGTCGAACTCCCATGACATTTTTGAGAACCTCGCCGCTGAGGAGACACTGCTTCGCGGCGTCGTGATTCGTCCAGGCCAGCAATTCCTCTTCATGTACGTCAATCGTCCGTGTGTGGTCATTGGCCGCAACCAGAACTATATCCATGAGGTTGCCTTTCGCAAGGCGCGGCGTGACGGCGTCGCGGTTGCCCGCCGAGCCTCTGGTGGCGGCGCAGTCTATCACGACACGGGGAACGTGTGTCTGTCCGTATTCACTCATCGCGATGACTATCATCCGGAGAGGAGCATTCAGATACTGCGTCTGTTTCTCTGCCGTGAGTACGGCATTCACCCTGACCGTCTTACTACGACAAGCCGATATGATCTCTTTCTTGACGGGAGGAAAATAACGGGATCTGCAATGCGGGTGCAAAGGGATATTTCGTACCATCACTTTACCCTTCTGGTGTCTTCGTGTCGTGAGCGGCTCGGCGCCTATCTCCACTCGGAGGGACAGCACGTTTCCTTCTCCACCTTGTCTGTGGGCTCGGTCCGCTCGCCTGTGACTACGCTGCAGCGCGCTGGAGTTTTGCCGGCGTCATTGTGTGACGACGGAAGCAATGGCAAAGCGGTGCAACACATTCAAGACGCTGCAGCGAAGTTTTTTCTCCTTCATGCGAACGACATTTTGGCGCACCGGGCGCCGTGGGAGCTGGACCCCTCTGCGCTCATCACGCCGGGGCAGGAGGAGATGGCCTCGCGGTTGCACGGCGATGATATTTTTCTGCTTGATGTCGTGGGAGCACGGCAGCAGGATACGCCCATTGTGGACGGTGAGCGCCGCAAAGCACCTTCGGGGTCTGCCAAGAGTGTGCGGGAGGAGGTGATACGCCTAAGTTCTTCGGACTGGCTATTCTCCATGCCTAAGTTCGAGACGCGCATCGCCGTGAGCGCAGCGGACATTCTTGCTTTGAAGGATGACACGCCAACGTGCCGTCGCATTACACCAAGCGTCGTTACATATTTGATGCAGGGTCACGAACGGCTTGACATCACCACAGTTGTCGAGAGACGCCGGGTGACGTCGGTGACAGTCTGCTGGGTGGACAAGGCAGGCGACACGCCCGAGGAGGCGTGGTGCGCTTGCCTCTTGAAGACTCTGCTGGAAGGCAACAACGTGGACAGTGCTGCTGTTGATGTGAGTGAGGAGAATGCGGTGCTTATGGCTGCGATTCAGATGGAATGCCGTGGTCTCCTCGACGGCATGCCTTGTGCTGCCGATTCGACAGATGGGGGACAGGACGCGTTGCTTCTCTTCCTACAAGCGTTGTTGTGTGCGTGGCGTGATAAGAACGTCTTCACCCCTGTTGAGGACTAAGAGGGTGTGGTTAAACAGCAGAAAAGGCGGTACAATGTGTATGACTGAGTGAGACGAGGATTCTGGATGAGCATTGATAACTGTTTGCTTTCTTTGGTAAAATTTTTTTTCTCGTTTTCTCTGTTTGTGTGTGTGTAATCATGTCTCGTGCAAAGCGGTAGAAAGGCGTGGAGTAAATGCAGCGGCTCTCGTCGCATGTCTCGCAGTGTGTGTGGCGGGCAGTGATGCCATGCGGCCGGTGCATCTATTCACTGCCGCTCGCGTTGCCCTCGCGCTGTTATTATCCGGCGATTCCACTGCGTTCACCCAAAGCAGCGGAGGCGCCCGCGTATCAGTGCGGGGAGTGCGGGAAGACGTTTCGTCTGCTAAACGCACTTAATCATCACATCATGACAAAGCACGCCGGCCACGCCAAGGCGATGGTGAACAGAGGGGGGAAGTTGGAGGAAGTGAAACCTGAAGAAGCAAAGGCCAAAGCTTCACCGACGACTGACACCCCACCAGCAGGAGCAGCAGCTTCTCACACCCCCACAGGTTTTCCTGGCATGACGTACTCGCCGTTGGGGGGTGCTGCGCCATTTGGAACTCCAGTTGGAGCGACCACAGTGACACCGAGTCAGGCACAATCTTCGACAACAATACCGGCAGGGACGAATACCATGTCGGGAAACACCGTGACAGACGAGGATGCTGACAAGAAGCTTTTTGTTTGCACCATCTGCCAAAAAACATTCCGTTTGGAGGCGGCATTGCAGCATCACTATCAGGCCAAGCATAACATGGAGATGCCGACCGTCTCCGCAAGTGGGAGTAGTCGACCTGCGGTTCCAAGCAGTACTGTCGCCGGCGTGGCAGGCGCAGCCGTTGGTGCTGCCTCCGATGATGCGGCGAAAACCACTTCGGGTGTGCAGTACGTCCATGGCCAGGACTCTGTTCTTCCTCAGGCCCCACAGTACCACCTTGACGTTGCCCCCAACGCCCCGGAAGAGGGCGACGTTGCGGCCCATTGGCGATGTGTCAACCACTGTGTTGTACTGGGCATGGTACAGAACATTCAGGAGGGATACGTGTTTGAGGACAAGGTCGTTCAGTTCACGTTGATTACTGACTTTGAGGGGCCCTCTCCTGGCGACCCTGACAAGGACTTTCATACCGTACGTGTCTTTGACGGCAGCTACAGCGAACAGGTGAAGCAGGAACTGCGGGAAGGGGAGCGTTTCCTCGTGACGGGTCGGCTGCGTATGGTACCGCAGTACGACAGTGCCATGAAGAAGTATTACCACTACCCGGTCATTCAAGTTCACCCAGGCTCCGGCTCTGTACTGAAGGTCTGACCTTCAGAGAGAGAGAGAAGGGGGGAGAAGAAGTGTGTGTGTGTGTGTGCCTGAGCGGTGATGGTCGTCTTCCGATTTTTCTTTATTGTTGTTGTTGTTGTTAATGAGAAGGACTGAGAGGAGTCTTCCAACGGGCAACACGAGAGAAGGGACTGTCGTGTGAGTGCTACTTGAATCATTGCCTGGGCAACCTCTTCTCTCTTCATATTTTATTGTTTCTTGCACTTCCCTTGAGGGTCCACCCTGGGCCAAATCGAGCAGCTGCTGTCGCATTCACGTGAACTTTTTTGTCAAAGCCGACAAACATATAGACAGACCACGTGAAGAGAGCTTGAGTGTTGGTGGGGGGTGGGTGATCAAGGGACAAAAAGAAAATGAAGTTGTCGAAAACACAAGGGCCAGAATCCCCGAAACAAAAGCCGAGTGTGACTGCGGTGGGCAACTTCGGATGTGAGGCACGCTGCTGCTGTGTGGTTGGTGACGTTGTGTGGGTGGCGGAGCTGAAGGGTGGCATCGCCGTGTGCGATGCGCAGCAGGGGCATGTGCTGCATCACGTTTCTGTCGCCGATCCCGACACGCGCGTTCATTTCAAGGCCATGGTGCTCGTCTTCGAGGAGGTATGGGCAGGCTGCAACGCTGGCACCGTCCACATCTTTGATGCGCCCACGCGACGGTGGAAGCGGTCGATGTCTATTCATGGCGTCGAGGCGGCTGCACCGATCACGTCGCTGTTCTTTGATGGCCTGTCGGTGCTGGGCGGCTCTGCAACAGGCCGCGTGGTGCAGTGGCACCCCTTTACCAAGCGGCAGATGGCGGTGTTTGTGGCGCTTGCGCCGGTGAATGCGGTGACGGTTGCCGCTGGCCTCGTTGTGAGCGGCGACCGTGACGGTGCAGTGCAGTTGTGGGATGCCCACAGCGGCGAGGTGGTTGTCGAGCATACAAAGGACACGGCAGGCGTCACGTGTCTCCTCAGCGAGACGACGACGACGACACTGTGGGTCGGCCGCCGCAACGGCACCGTCAGTGTGTACACGCTTGCGGCACCACTTGTGTTCGACGGCCGCCTCGCGGTGGGCGATGGCGCCGTAACGTCGATGCTGGCAGTCACTGGGAAGGTACTGCTGACGACGTACGACCGATCTGTTATTGTTGTTGCTGCCGCAACGCGGGAGGTGCTAACGCGCGTGACAGTGGCGCACGATGCTTTTATCTACGGCGCCGCGCGGGTCTACGCTGCCGAGACGTTGCGGGCATGGACCTTCGGGAACGATGGTGTCATTCGCGTGTGGGATGTGGCGGGATATTTCGTGCCGTGCCAATCGTCACCTGCGCTTGGTCTGTACGCGCAGGCCGCGATGGTTGACGGCGCGAAGGGTGCGCTCATGATTGAGAACGCACAATTAGCCTCGCACGCAGCGGCCTCACAAGTTCGGGTGGTTGACGTCAAGGAGGAATTGCGACTGTCACGCGATGAGGCACACGAGCTGCGCATGCGCAATGCCACATTCGAGGATGCACTCAAAGCAAAGGACACGGAAATCATGTCTCGCTCATCACGCGTTAAGGAGCTCGAGGAAGATGTGATGAGACTCCAGAAAAGTGTTATAGACGCCAACACACGCGCAGATGAGGCACTGAAGGAGGCCACCATGCTCAGGGCTGACTACAACAGAGCCTTGCAGGACGCAGCGCAGGCGCGGGCGCAGACATCCGAGCGAGTTGCCGAGAAAGCAAATGTGGAGCAGCAGCTCTCAGCACAGCGCAATGAAAAGTCGCATTTGGAGATTCGCCTCCGTGATAAGGAGGCAGAGGCGACACAGCTCAAGGCTGAGAATGCGCGACTACACAGTGCGCTTCAGCAGCTTTCCTCATCGCAAGTGGCAGACAAGGATATGTATCGGAAGATACTTGCCGACAACGAAGGAGTTATGCGGCAGGAAATAGACGAGCTGCGAAGACGACATCAGCTCATGGGTGCGTTACTGGTCTCAATGGAGTACACCATTCGGCGAAAGGAAGAGGAGGAACGTGACATGACAGCACTCCTTAACGCCTTTCGACGCAAGGTGGCGGACCGCGTCACTGATCCACATTTGGCGGCGTTGCTGAACCTCACAATGGTACGCAACCCTAGCCGGTTTGACATGGAGTGTGACGAGCACACAAAGTCATTACTCCGTGATCGTAATGGACCCTTCATCCGTTTTCTTCAGCAGCTACGAGATCGTGATCCACGCACTTACGCGCAGTTGGTCGAATACCTACAGCATCCTATGGCGGGGAATGAGTTCAACTCCCTATTTGACAAGCTGCTTGATCTCGCCAACAAGGAGAGTGGTATGCATGACGATGATATCGTAACCTTCAAGAAGAGTCTCCCAGTTCTGCTTGATTCCCTAAGCACCATGGGTGCTACAATAGACCGAACATATAGTGGTGGTGGCTTCGGAGATGCACAGTCCTTGCCAACTGGCGGGAGACAAGGAACGACGCCGCCACCGCTCACTGCGATGGAGACCAATCGCAGCGCTGCCATTGGATTAGATAAGGATGTAAAGGGTGTAACAGGTATTCTGCGCGAGGGTGGCACTGCTGCCTCTCCGAATACGGTTCCACCGCAACAGCTTCTGCAGCAGCAGCAGCCACCAACTGCAGGAGCCACCGCCGCGTCGCTGAGGGCGATGACTCCCGATGAGGAAGACATCACGGTGTTCCTGCGGCGAATGAATCTTGGGAGCGATGGCCCCGGTGCTGTGGGGCAGACGGCGTTTGACAGTGGAGAGATCGCCTATGTGAAACAGATGCAAAGCACGTTTGAGTTCATTCTGCAGACACGCCGGGACCTGGTGGAGCAACTGGCTATTCTTGCGGGGCGTGTTGTTAAGGCACGCCAAGTTGTAGACGCGCTGACAAGCAACGCAAAGGAGGTTACATCACCTCTACACCGCCGTCTCTCCGGCAGTGGGGGCGGGAGACAAAGTTTGGGTTCGGTCGTGACGCATATTTTGGTAGAGCTGCACCGCCTTGTGTCGGGCATCGTGGCGGCGTACCTCACAGCTGCCGAGAAGCAGCGACTGGGCCTTGGCGCTTAGTTGCGGGAGGCAAACAGACGAGACTATGCATGCCCATCACTGGGAGATGAACTGTGGATGGGCGGTGTGGTCTGAAGCAGTGAGAGTGTGCAAGCGTCTCTCCAGCCTCTCTGTTGAGACACTCTAGATCCTTGGACGTTTGCTTCTCTTTTTTTTTATCTTATTCCAGCTGTCGTGCTTCACGGCCCGACTGAAGAGGTGACGTGCTGCTTACGTGTTTTTTTTCCCCCCTCCCTCGTTTCATTGTGTCTTCTCAATTCAGGTCACTTCGAAACGCAAAGCAAAACGAAAGCCCAAAAAAAAAGTACCGCGCGATGAATGCCAATTCTGTTTCGCAGCAGCAACAGCAACTGTATGAGGTGCTGATCAACGGGCGGCTGTACGACTGCCGCAATTTTAAGCACCCAGGGGGAAGTGTGCTGAGATTCTTCTGCGGCTCTGGTGATGCCACAGAGACGTTTATGGAGTTCCACATGAGGATGCCTAAGGCGGCCAAGCAGCTGCAGCAGCTTCCCAGTCGTCCGGCTCCTGAGTGGATTGGTGAGGACCTGAAGGAGACTGCGAGGCTTAAGAAGCTGTCACGCGACTTCAACAACCTGCGCACTGAGTTCGTTCAAGAAGGAATGTACGACCCCTCCTACCTACACGTTTTCTATCGTCTGGGGGAGTTGGTGGTAATGCACGCCCTTGGTTTGTATCTTCTCCTGTGGACCCCCTACTGGATACCCGCGTGCGTGCTGCTTGGCATTGCTGAGGGCCGTTGCGGCTGGGTTGAGCACGAAGGTGGCCACCATAGTCTTTTCGGGAATCACTGGCTCGACCAGAAGATCCAAGAGGTGTGTTACGGCCTTGGCGACGGGATGAGCGCTGCATGGTGGCGGTCGCAGCACAACAAGCACCACGCCACCCCGCAGAAACTTCGGCACGACGCTGACCTGGACACCCTCCCACTCGTTGCATTTAACCGAATCGTGGCGGAGAAAGCGAGAAACAGCTCTCTGGTGCGTCGTTGGCTCTCAATGCAGATGTACCTCTTCGTGCCGATCACGTGCTCGCTGGTGGCGCTGTCCTGGCAGCTTTTCCTGCACCCCCGGCACATGATCCGCACAAGACGTTACACCGAAATGGCGTGCGCCGCATGTCGTCTTCTGCTTATTCTGGCTATCTGCCGCAGCCTCCAGCTGACCTTGTTGCAGAGCATCGGCGGCTACCTCTTCTACCAGTTTTTTGGTGCTGCTTACATTTTCGTGAACTTTGCTCTTTCGCATTCACATCTTGGTGTCCTCTCGGCTGATGCACACGTGCATTGGGTGGAGTTTGCGTCTGTGTACACAATTAACATCGCACCACATTGGCTTACAAACTGGTGGATGGGGTATCTCAACTTTCAGATCGAGCACCACCTCTTCCCCACTATGCCACAGTTTCGTTTTGTATCATTGTACCCGCGTGTTCGCAGGTTGTTTGAGGACAATGGGCTCAAGTATGACTGTAGACCCTATTGGGACGCAATGTCAACAACATTTAGGAACCTTGGGCATGTTGGTGACATGTTTAAAGAGTCCTCTTGATCTGATTCTTGATGTATTTTTGCCGCCTTGTTTGTTTTGGTTTACATCAAGAATAATATGCTATTTTTTTTGTTTTAGGCAATGCATACCAATGTGTGCTGGTATACGCTTTGTTTTGTTGTGGTATTAGTCATTTCCTTCCCGTCACGGTGCTGCTCGCTTTTTGTTGTTGTTGTTGTCATTGCGGTTGGCGTCTTTTTGTGCGGACATCTCTTGCTATTTTTTTTTGTTTGTTTTTGTGTGTGCCAATTCTTCCTTCTGTGGTAACGGAGCCTGGCATTGGGATGGCACGCTCGAGGTCCTCTTCGTCGTCCAATGATGACGGGGACAGCTCTGCCAGCGACAGCGGTAGCGAAGCTTCATCGTCGTCGTATTGCGGTAGCAAATCATCGTCATCATCGTTGGCATCATCGACCGCCTTATCGTGTGTGTCTGACAATGGGCGTAGTAAGCCGGTAAAGGACAGCTGTGACGCGCTGGCGGTGGAGCGCATGGAGCGCGAGCAGCGGCTCCGTCGTTTGCTCTCGCAGCGCAAAGTGGGCGACGCGACACCCATTGATGATGGAAAAAACATGGAGCCTTTTACTTTTCGAAGAGGCGCTCTTAACGAGGACGATGGTGTGCTTCTTTCGACGTTTACTAACGCCTCGTTGTTTGGGCGGCTGCTCGCTCTTCTGTCTCAGTATGAGCACTCTGCACGTTCGCACAGCCTTGACGAAGTACTGGCAGCCGCCAACCCCTTATTTTACCGCAACTTCAAGGCGACACTGGAAGACGCTGCAGCACCGCCCCCACTGCGGGATGGGGCAACTGTTCGCAGTGAATGCGCGCAACTTGATCACAGTGGCATTATTGTTCATCGGCGAAAGCGAGAGAAGTCGGCGCACGCTGTAGACCGCGATGCTGGCGTGCGGCGGCGCCGTGTCACTGAGACCCAGGCATGGCCACACGGAGGCTCCGCGACGTCTGGTATCATTGCCAAATCATTACAGAATTGGGAGCAGCACTTGTCTGCGGAGTTGAAGCAAGAGGGCGTCTCCCTTGAGAGCTTCAGGCAGCAGCGGCACGACAGTAGTTACTTGGAGGAGAGGCGGTTTCTGCAGGATGCGCAGTGGGCTGATTACCAGCGTGAGCTGCAGCTGGAAGAGAAGCGACGAGAGCAAGAGGCGAAACGAACGATTCGTCGCGGTGAGAGCGATGCGATTTGAAAAAAAGAAATGAAACAATGTCTTTTTTAAGATATTGTTTGATCGCGCAGCACCGTGGTGCCGGTTGTTAATGTGGAGTCGAGATGAACTATTTTTTTTTTTGTTTTTGTGTTCCTCTTCGGGGTGGAAGACGCGGTGGGGGATTCATCTTTCCTTTCATTGACCTTTATTGCCTTTGCCACCGCTGCTGTAGAGGAATACCCAACGGGGGAAGGAAGTCAGGCTATGGGGCACTCTGCGAAGATCACGAGGGGGGGCGACAAGACCCGCGTGAACGAGGGCCGCCGCGAGGCTAAGATGCGCGCGCAAGGTGCAAAGACCCACGCCACATCCGCGAAGGAGGCACTCGAGGCGAGGCGCGCGCAGAAGAAGAAATCGCAGGCCATCGCCACAGAGCTTCGCGCCAAGGCCCAGGTGCAAGCGAAGCCAATCGTAACTATGGCGCCGAAGGTCCAGAAGCCAGCGAAATAGTCTCAAGAACGAATACACCCGTCGTAATGGTGTATGACATCGGCTAAGTGTATGTGTGTGTGTGTGTGTGTCGCTGCAATGCTTTGTTAGTCGTGGTGCTCGGCACAATGTTCTCTGCGTGCACCTGCACATTACCTTTTGCTCGCGTCTCTTGTCTTCTGCACGCGTAGGATTCGGCTAAGGCACTACAACAAGAAGCACTATAAGGATGATGCGTCGTCTGATGATTGCCCAACCCGCCGCTGTGCGCCGCGTTGTGACGCCCGCCGTCTCTTCGGCGTTAGCCGTGCGCCGCGCCTCGACGGTGGCCATCTCCGTGCAGGGCCTGCACTACGTCGGCACTGGCCTTGCGGCTATTGCGCTGGCTGGCGTTGGCCTCGGCATTGGCACCATCTTCGGCAACCTGCTGGTCGCCTGCGCGCGGCAGCCAAACTTGACCAAGATGCTGTTCAACTACGCCATTCTTGGCTTCGCCCTGACGGAGGCTATCGGCCTGTTCGCGCTGATGCTTGCCTTCCTGATGCTCTTCTCGTAGAGATCCCGGGCGATTGTAGAGGCCGAGAAATAACTTCTTGTGATGCTTTACTCTGTGACATTCCCCGCGCTTGTATATGCTTTGGTTGGCCAGTGAGGCTGGCGTTTCGCCACTGGATCATGAAACCTGCGCAGCAGCTGTGATCAGCTAAAGGAAGGGTTATATATATATATATATATATATGTGGACGCAGGAACCGAATGCATACATTTTGACCGTAAGGGAATGATAAATTAGTAGCAACGATAGCAATGTCAGGTGGTGTGGAGGGGATGCAGGTGGTGCCATGGAGTTTTGAGGGTGGTGAAAGCGGTGGCCGCCGGGGCTGTGGTGCCTTCGGTGACGCACTTCGTCTGCTTCGCTGTTGTCTTTTGTGTTCCATCAGCCTCCCTCTGCGTCTCTGGGACCGCCTTGTCTCTGGTGATCCTTCTCTCTCCTTCACTTGATGTGGCTCTGCGTTGTTTGTCCTCGCGTGCGTTCTACGCGCTTTTTTTTCAATCTGTGGTGCTATGGTTTAGTGGCTCTTGCTCCTTTTTGTGCTTTTTTTTCGTTTGGTTGGAATTGCATCTGTTCTTGCAACCTTACGGGCAAAGTGTAGTGAAGGCGGGTAAGGGTAGCAAGGTGCGTGGAGGGAGGCCTGCTCTTATTCGTGTGAATGCCCGTTAATGAGGCTCCATGGCTGACAAGGAGAGTGGAACTTATGTTCATGGTAGCGATGTTTTGCTTCTGCTTCATGTTGGACTCCACGAAGTGCAAGACCGGCCGACTTGCAACCTGCCTTGGCGGCTCTGCCTCTCTGTGTGACCGCGACGTGGAGCAGGCATGGTGCGACGACCTGGCGATGCCGCTGGTCACTAGCAATGAAGAGGAGCGGCGTGCCTGCGCCTCACATAACTCCTCGCTTCTGCTCGTGCACGTGGTGGACGTTGGCGCCCCAGTGGCACTCACCAAGAAGTATAAGACCGTGGGGCGTGTTCCCATCACGCCGCTCGTGGCAGAGGCAATGCGGAACATATCCGGAGGTGCAGTAACGGCGAACAATGAGGGTGGCTTTCTCGGCGCGCCTCTTTTCGCCCCGCTGCGCAGCCACATTGGACTGTCATTGCCGAAGGCTGGTAACAGCCCTCCAGTAGGGGCAATCATCAATGTCTCGTACAGTCACGACACAGTAGTGGTGCCGCCGGCGTCGACGCTACTGATGGATCTTGAATCTGTGCTTCCGTTTCGAAACGATTACTTCGCCATCCGCCGCTACCTACCTGGCCTGCAGCGCGTCTTTGAGAGGCTGCTCTCGCGCAAGACCACCTTGTCTGCCAAGAAGCGGGATCCCTGCTCGATGGTGCATCTGGTCATTGCAACCGCTCTGAGGCCGGGCACGGATGTCGCCTGGGTGGGTGAAAACACCACCCTCATCCCCATGATACTTAGTGAGGCACAGAAACATGTGCGGAGGACTATAAGCCGGTATCTGCGCAAGAAGCCTCGTTATACGCGCTTACTCAAGAGTGTCTGGTTTGTTGACGTCCCGATTGGATATCCCGTACATGATCTCAGCCTTAAAGAATGTTTTAATACGATGAGCGCCAAGCAAAGGGGGGGAAACAGAGCTGCTGGTGGCTTTGGTAGTGATGGCGGCTCCAATGCTTCTGCAGCAGAACTAGCGGCGGCCGTATGCACCACAAGTGGTGGTGCTGAGGCCAAGGCGTGCCGTGCGATGTGCGCAGCGTATCAAGAAGAGGTCTCCGCGTACCGTGCGGCGAACGAGGGTCTGCAAAAGACAGTGGGCGTAGGTGGAAGACGCCTTGGGCAGCGCAGCTTTCTACTTCCCTACCGTGATCATTTCCATACTGGAGAGGCTATGCAATGCTCGCATTGGCGAGATTGCTCTTCACTATCTGCTGAAGGTTCTACCGCAATGGCGAGAAGCATCGCAAGTAGTTTCTTCGCATAAGTGTGTAACAACCAGGAAAAAAAAAAGAGAGGAATAAAACTCTTTGTGCTATTATGGGCCTGTGCGCTTTTGCTGTGGCTGTGGTTGGGGCTTAGCAGACGCTGCTTGGCCCCCTATACTGCAATGTTCCACTGTGACTGCTTGCGCGTATACATGGCAGTGCTCTTCCCTCCAGCATCGTTTATAATCGTATAACTCACCACATGTATCTCTTGTTTTTGACCTTTTTTTAAATTTCTCCCTGTGCCTTCATGAGGCGTGCTTCTTTTTTTTTTTT